ATAGTTAAGAAAAGGAAAAGTGTTGGTCGCTCCCAACGAGTTCTTTGAAATTCTAAACTATATTAAAAGAACCTCGTATGAATGATTTTAATTTATTGTGTCGGCTATTGAAATTAAAGTACTTTTGTGAACTTGTACAGTTCTATTTATAATAAATTTCTGTATTTAGGACTATATTGCGAATAAGAATACGCTTTACTTATCTTTTCAAATAGCACTATTTGTCTGCACTTGATATTTGTAAATATTTATGCTGTTCTGCTTTTATTATTTTTTATTTGTTAATTCTTTGTCCCTAGTGGGTCAACTGTCTGTATCTTCTTACAATTAGAATTTTTTTTTTAAGAATATTAATAGATGTATTAGATAATAATGATCATAGAAAATAATCTAACTTTAGGACATTTGAATGTTTGCTCGTTGGTATCGAGTATAGGTGATATAAGGCAACTTATTTCGAACTATAACTTTGACATACTGGTTCTGACAGAATCCTGGCTTGGGTCCAATATTTCTTCCAACATTGTAGGTGTTGATGGATACTACCTGATTAGAGAGGATAGAGGTAGACGAGGTGGAGGAGTTGTATTTTATATTAAAAATTGTTTCTGTTCCAAAATCATACAAACAAACAATATTATTGAACAATTGTGGGTTAAAATTACTTTTGGTGGAATATCTTTCGCTGTAGGTGGAGTCTACAACCCTCCCAAAAATAATGTTAAGGGGTTTCTGGATAATTTAGAAGAAACATTATCAGAACTAGTTCCTTCTTATGAGTATTTATTTTTAATGGGAGATTTTAATATAGACTTATTGAAAACCGTATCTTCTAGTGTCTTACTTGTAAATAATATTACACAATTATTTAATTTAACACAGATAATTGATAGTCCTACCCGGATCACTCCTACTACCTCAACTCTAATTGATTATATTATTATTCCAGACTTAGAAGACTTCTTAATTTCAAAAGACGTTGTCTCAGTCAAACATATTTCAGATCACGAGTTAATTATGTGCGAATTAGATTTAAAACTTAAATGTAAAACCCCGACATTTAAAGAAATAAGAGATTACAAAAACTTAAATGTAAATGATTTTTGTTACGATTTAGAGAACTTACCGTTAAATAATATATTAAATATAACAGATATAAATGAAAAACTTTTATATCTAAACAATTCCTTACTATACTTATTTGATAGACATGCACCGATTAAAATAATTCATATAACTAAAAAGTACGCTCCTTGGCTAACAGATAATTTAAAATTTTTAATGAATTTGAGAGACAAAGCTTATAAAGATTGGAAAAAAAACAGGATTGCTTCTAAATTTGATTACTATAAACAACTCAGAAATTACACCACTCTGGCATATAAAACCGAAAAGAAAGCTTACATTCGTCACCAATTCAGACTAAATGGTATGAAGGCTGTTTGGAAAGATCTAAATAAACTCAATATGTTAAAGAATAAAACTAAACAAATTCCACCCACTTTGAGCGATGTTACTAACCTCAATAACTACTACCTTAATTCATTGCCTAATATAACCCCAGACATACAAAAAATTGAATATTACAAAAATCATATATTACCTGAAAAAACCTTTAAAATTGAAAGTGTAACACATTCGGATGTAGCTAAAATCATCAGAAAAATTAAAACTAATGCGATGGGTATTGACCAGATAAATTTAAGAATGATAGAACTTTGTTGTCCACAGATAATTCCATATATTACATATATTTTAAATACGTGTATTCAGAGCGGTGTTTTTCCTGATATTTGGAAGCAAGCTTTGGTGCTGCCTATTCCAAAAAAGTCAAACCCAACAGAACTAAAAGATTTAAGGCCAGTTAGTATTTTGCCAACTTTTTCAAAAATTCTAGAAAGAATAATAGAAAAACAATTGAGGGAATTTTTAAATCAAAATGAAGTTTTACCTTACCAACAGTCAGGTTTTAGACCTCTACATAGTTGCGAAACGGCCCTGTTAGCTATTACGGATGATATTTTAAGAGCCACTGATAAAAATATGATAACTTTACTTATACTTTTGGATTACTCAAAAGCCTTTGATACATTGAATCATGAAATGTTAATAGCTATTTTACATTATGTTAGACTAGACGACCTTTCCTTAGAATTCTTCAAAAGCTATGTAACTAATCGTTCCCAATGTGTTCAAATACAGGAAAATGTATCTACGCCTCTTAAGTTACCATCTGGAATAGCACAAGGGTCTATATTGGGACCACTACTATATACTGTATATACTTCTAATTTTAGAAAAGTTGTTACTAAAACCTCAATACATTTCTATGCTGATGATACTCAGATTTACTACTCCTTTAGACCCACTGATATTCAAGATGCTATTGAAACTGTAAATCATGATGTCTATAAAATTGTTGAGGAATCTAAAAATCACTCTTTAAAACTAAATAGGGAAAAAACAAAGTTATTGTGTTTTGGGGGAGGAAGGAAGTACTCTGAGCTATTAAGTAGCATAGAAATTGATATTGATGGATACAGTATTACACCATCGGGAGAGGCAAAAAACCTCGGCCTTACTTTTGACACTGTTCTAAGATTTAGAAAACACGTTACCAACTGTATTAAAATAGGATACGCTAATCTGAAAATAATTTACGGCAATCGACATTATCTAGATAAAATAGTAAAGAAAAATCTTTGTGAGGCGTTAGTATTATCTAAACTTAATTTCTGTGATAGCGTATATGGTCCGAATATTGATAACCAGGATACACGAAAAATTCAAGTATTACAAAATTCTTGTGTCAGATTGATTTGTGGGATACGCCGCCGACAACCTATTTCCAATAAATTAAATCAATTATCCTGGTTGAACATGTATAATCGCAGGCAGCATCACTCCTTGTGTCTATTTCATAAAATAATAATAAATAAATGCCCATTATATTTGTTTAACAAAATAATATACCGTCATAACATACATAATCTAAATACAAGACATAGGTTCAGACTTAATATACCCTATCACAGAACCGAAACTTTCAAGCGTTCTTTCAGTTATCAAATAGTCAATGCATACAACTCCTTACCAGATTCACTTAAAACTCTACCAATGAGCACATTTAAGGTCAAAGTTCGTAATTTACTATTTTCTAAGCAATTATTACGTACCTAGGTTCTTTGTGTTTATTGTTATTTGTAGTTAGTAAATGCAATTCAGGCTTTTGGAAATTTATTTACTTTTATTTGCTTTTTACATTTTTTGTTGTTTTTTTTTTCAAGGTTAGGTTGAAAAACAGAGGGCGAGCTATGCTTATGTTTAGTATAACTCACTCAGCTGACACCTCGCCTTTTTTTCACAACATTATTAAATATGTATTTTTAGAATATTGTAAATATACTTTAATTTTGTTTTATGATGTGAAAATAAAGACCTTATTATTATTATTATTAACCCTTATTAGCGTCTGGCCAGTGAACCTCGATCCCAACTTTTAACGAACGTGTCTTGTATCGTGAGCATCTAATAATAAAAAAATATACAATAAGAAAATGAAGGAACGACTTCTTGTAAGGTGGCGGCTTCGCCGCCACCAAAAAATTTTTAAACCAAACCTGGCTACGCCGACCGGCATAAACTCCAACGGCCTGGCCACAGCTCAAATTGATTTTTTTTTAATATTAGATAAGTACCGACATGCCGTAATTAACATACAATCATCTTGAAATGAAATAAAAAGACGGTTGTCTGTGATTACTACAAATGTTTTCACTTTGAGATCCAAATTTACCTGCTGGCCAGACACTATGTAATTTTTCAGCCAACTTTCACTAACCGAATTATTTCCTGACTTATATGTTTTCTTACTCGATTTGGCAAAACCGCATTTATAGAAACTAGACACATCAATTGTCATTAAAAATAATTTAGTGTATTATTTATTTTTCTAACAAACTAAAAATGAAAAATAAGGAAATTTAATCGTTTATGAAAAAATTTGGTACGGTTTATTGCTCTATGAATGGTCTTATATTGATATTTAGCCGTTTCTACAACAAGAAATAAGTGAAAATGGTTTATTTTACATCTGTTTTATGATGGAGACCCGATAACAAATTTTAAGGATTTTGGATTTTAAGTTAATTTTTTTTTTTTTAAATAAGTGTTAGCGGACCCAAAATTGTTATGTATAGTGTGTTTCAAAGTGTCTAGAAACTCATTATAACATTTCAATAGTTATATCCACCGTTCGAGTGTCGGCGTATAATACCAAATAGGGTATTCCTGAAGAACTTTTCTTAGTCTTAACAAGCAACGTGCTTTCGGTAAATAAAAAAAAATATTTCAAATTATCGCTGTCCTTGGGATATTACTACTCAAAAACCTACCCGAGAAAGAGGAGTTCACGAATTACTATTAAGTAGCTAATAAATCCTGTCTAAGTTTATCGGTAAGTTCTGTACTTATCATTCACCCAAACAGCATAATCTACAGTATACTATTATTTTTATAGTTATAATGCCAATTCACTATATTTTCATTTATATTTACAGAAAAACGTAAATTTGAATAAAGGTTAATAAAACTGTAAAACGAATTTAATTATGAATTTAAAGCCATAAAAAATGTATTAGACGTTAGCGTAAAAGCGCAAATGTTACTGTTCGAAAGGTTTAAATCCCGGGAGAAGCCAAATTTTTGATTTTTATTTTAAGTTTATTTTATAAATCAGTAAAAGTATAAATTCAAATCTTTGTGTTACTTATTTTTAAAATAGTTATTTTACTTTAATAACCTAAATTATTTCTTAAAATGTAATTTTATATGTGGATCGTAGAAAACATATAATCGATTGTTCGTATTACACTCATCGTCTATCATATCCACTCTTGTTATACAAACTACTATCTTTTTATAAATAAAACAGTTATAGCTAAGAATCGAAATTTAACTTACTAAATAATGTCTAGTTGCTAATGTGAAAAGATACTTACAAACAACATTGAACTTAAATGAGTCTTCTAGTCCAACACCGTTAAGTTTGGGATTTTCTCCAACACATTTGAAAATGCTGTTGTCATCCTCTGGAACTGGAACGAAAGTCAGCGTTGTAATTACAGACGTTTCGTTTTCTTGTGAAATAACCTGAAAATAAATTTAAACCGTGAAACAACAGTGGATGGCCTCAGGAGTATATTTGTAGTTTTGTATCCTTCAGACTGGTTGGTCATTTTAGCTTTGTTTCATGACGTTAAAGTTAATGTTTTTACTTCTTCAGAAATCTTCCAAAGAAAGCCAGTTAAAACAACAACTGTTATTTATGATGTTTATTTATTTAAATAACAACATATAAGAAAAATAAGAAATTACTTTCTTTCGAAACATGTTCTGTTTATTATTTAAAAAAATTAAGACCATAAATTAAGTGTTTTAATTGTTTATTTAACCGATTAAACATGTGATGATTAATGAGAAAAAGTAAAAAAACATTCCCTTTGCAGGAAATGTGTTTAAAACCTTTCCAGTGCTAGGCTTGTTTGTAAAATACCTACAATGTAATTTTGAACAAACAATATCTAAGGTTTTATCAACGTTTTAATTCCTGCTATAAAACTTTTAGGTAAAAGTATTACATAAACGTAATATAAATTAAATATATTTATACAAAATAACGAAAGTAGAAAAAAACTTTTGTTTTTAAAAAATAGGAATTTGCTAGAGGAAATTTCTTAATAATTTATGAATAAACTTTTTATTTTCTGAGGGTTATTCAAACTAATGATTAAAAGAAACTACAATTAATTAGTAGCAGAAAAACTAGATGTTTTATGTATCCCCAACAGTAGATTTAATCTGTATCGTATCACAAACTTTTGATCATTAACCATTTTATCAAAAATTTTTCTACTCATACCTACTAAAATTTTTGTGCAATTGGTAAACGGCCAATTTATAAATTTCGCGAAAATTCTATTGATTAGTTCATTTCAGTGTTAAGTAATGAACAGTATTTTTGAGACTGGTCAGAGCCTTTAGAGACATTAATTAACACCTAAGCAGTGTCAAATTGAGCCATCGATCTGCCGGTCTACAGACAGGTAGGCCTTCATCCAGATAGTAAGCGTCCAGGCAGTGGTACCCGTCTAGGCAGTGGGGGCCCTCGAGAAGAACAAAGAACCAAATACGTACTTAGACTCTGATTATATCCACGGTAACGAGCAAACTTGTAAAGTAGCGCCATCTATGAGTGTTGCACACTACTATAACACGAGTAAGCATTTCCCTATTAAAGATATCCTAGCCTGGATCTATTCGAGATCCTGCAACAGTATGAGACGGTACCTGTGTGACAAGCGGTCGAGAACAGCCGAAGCGAAACAGACGCCTAGTGAAAGTCACTGTGAAAGCACACTTATGCGGCACAGCCTCTGAAGTGAAAGCATCTAGTGTTAAAAAATATTTAGTATTTTTGAAATTTATTTCCAGAGATTTCAATTAGAAAAATATTACCTACATAAGAAGAAGGACCCAAAAGTGAATTGTGAACTAAATGGCCCTATTTTTGAAAAATTGTTTTTGGAGTTTTTCTTTAAGAAAGGCTAAGTTATTCGAATGAGATTTGACTTGAAATCCGATACTAAACTAATTATTTTCAGGAGTATAGCCTTATTTTAGAAAAATTTCTTTTTAAAAATTCTCCTTAAGAAAGGTTATTCGCACAGCGAAGTTTTCGAATAATAGATTGAGTTTAATAAATATTAAACAGCTAACCCCTTTCTTTCAGCAAGTGACAAAAACAGACGACTACAAGACTACAGGAGCAAAAAAGTGTAAGATAATAACAAACTAACAAACTCATCCGACTAGGGTCAAGTCATCATATTGCCGGGGTTAATAGCCCTTGGGTGGTGAGACTGCCACACACTAGTTGGGTTAAGAAAAAAATAACTAGATCTATTCAAAAACCTTTTGTCACCACCACGGTGGTGACACGCAAAAACTCCTACGCCGGTTTCGCTGCATCTTCCTTGCAGCAATACGGCCAAGGCCCTAACTCATTGGCAACAATCCCCTCCTCAAACCCAAGCCAAACAAGCTCCATCCTCTCACTTATGGACCAAACCATAGTCAAACCAAAATTTTCTAAAAACTTAGAGAAAGCACCCCCCCTGAAACCACAACCCCTGAAAATCGTACAACTACCCCCTCAACTGCGCTCATAAAGACTATTTCCACAAAAACCCCCACCGAACTCCAAACACTCATTAGACAACGGATGGGGGACAACAAAATCATTTTTAACCCCAAATACATACTAAACCCACTTGAAAAAACTACCCTTCTGTTAAACTCCTGTCTCTCCCTCTCCTATTTTCCACTTGCCTGGAAATCCCGTAACACCATTTGATCCCCAACCAGGCAAGGACCCCAAATCCGTAAATTCATACAGACCTCTCTCTTATATCAGTCCTATGGAAACTCCTTGAACTTCTGCTCAAGGAAAGAATCTGGGAATTTTGTGAAAAAAAAAACATCATCTCTCAATCCCAACATGGTTTCAGACCTCACCACTCTACACAGGACGCAATCTGCTCCTAGCGCACTACTGCCGTCATTGCAGTAAATTCCCAACAAATTTCATCAGCCGTTCTCTTAGACGTTCAAAAAGCCTTCGACCAAATCTGGCACGCCGGACTAGTCAAGAAGCTTATGAACATAGGTCTCCCTTCCAGAATCTCTAAACTCATAGACTCCTACCTCACTGACAGAAAAAGCACTGTTAATGTTGGCAACTCCCTGTCAGACACATTTACCCCACTTGCTGGGGTCCCACAGGGCTCCGTCCTGGCCCCTCTCCTTTTCCTCATATACATACACGGCATCCCTTCTCCAATACACCCATCGTCCAAATGATGCCTTGATAGGATTCCCCACTCGACCATTCACTGTAGGGTTTTAATTAACACTGCTGTTCCTAAAGTGGCGCTGGGAAACAGTAACAAAGAATACACAGAACACGAGGCGAAATAACCTTAGCAGTTGAAGCCGATGACACACACAAAAAAAACATTGTTTGATATATTCTATAATATAGGATATATCGAACTTCCACACACTATTGGGACACCCTGTATGTTCCTCCAACGTTACGATTGCAGCATGTTCAGTTTTTAGAAAAAATAGGCGATGATTAGTTTCGAAGATCCACGCTGTAACGTATGAATATATTTTGAAGCACAGTGATCGTATGTTTTATGGATTCTTTCCACCAATTGGCACTAGCGTTTTTCGAACTATTGTCAATTTATGTGGGAACTAGAGCGGACAAATCTTTTTAACGAACAAATTTTCATGGAATATTGAATGTATGTTGCTCCCACTAATGCCCAAGGATGCCTCAATCTCTAATTAAGCCACGTGACGATTTTGCAGTATCAGTTCACGCACACCATTCAATGATTCCGGAACAACAATCGGTTTTGGATTACATTGACGAAATTCGTCGTTGAGCGAGCAACGGCCAAGTCTGATGAATTCTGTAAACCATTAATAAATATTGTCGAATTAAGTTCATAGATACACTATTGTTGAATATAAGTCAAAAGTTGTAATAAATAATTGCATTTTTTGGCCGAGATGAATTTTTCAAGATACTGCAAACAACAAAACCAGCAGTCTTAAGTCGACACTATGAAGACTAGAGATAAGGAGGAGAATCGGCATACTCAATATACGGTCCCAAAAAACGAACGCCAATTGAGCTTCTATAATTCACCACAGGGGCGCTGGTGTTCTTAGATACGTTAAAAATATTCTTATAGGAATTTCACATAATTTTGTGAAAATAATAAAAATAAACTCGTGTATTGCTAAGTAAATTACAGAAAATACGGTTTTGTTTATTTCTAAATAAGATTTGCATGTTTTAATTGATAAATTATTTAATTATATCTATATAAAATGCAAATTAGGTAGGTATGACCAAATTCGAAAAGATTTGTTAAATGGTGAAATTTGGTAAATACAATTTTGTGAGTAAAGTTTTTTGAATTGTACCTGAATATAATTTTAAGAAGAGCAAAATAAAACACAATTAATAGATTTTTTATATTATAATTGAAGCAATCTATCGAAACTGCCAAAGGACTTTCTGTTCGAATTAAACACAAGATTTTTTCTACGATCACACCAAAATTAAATAAATTAATTTTATTCCACCTTCTTCCGTTATAAAAATTTTTAAATTTATTTGGAAAAGCCTAGTCTTTAAAGAGAAAAAATGTTTTAGTACTTACATGTCAGTAATTATTTATGATTTATTAATTATTTAATTATTTATGAAAAATACTGTAGAATGATTAAAATATTAGGAAGTCAATTAAAATAATTTAGATTAGCCTACATTTTGTTTTAAAATAGACAAGCGTGTGTCAAAATTACTTTGGCGCACGTGTGCGCCAATAATGACAAATAATGATAATTCGCGGAAAACGTCAACTTTCTAGTTAGATTTAAATGTGCAAAGCCTACTTTGGATAGTGATCGTAGAAAAACACTTTATTTCACATTAACTTACATAAAAAATTGACGTACTTAACGTTCGACCTGCCAACTATTATCAATTTGACAAACTTTATGAAAATAAGGACGGACATTTGAAATTTGTTCATTGTCGATTCGCCTTTTTCTCTCTAGTCTTCATAGTCAAAATATTCTGATTACATATATTGTTTACAACAAAGCACGTATCCTTTAGAGATCCCACGCCAATGTTAAACTTTTAAACCAAATTAGCGCCACCTTGTGTTTGGAGTAGGAACTAAAATGACAATTGACAGATGGCGGTAAATTCAAATTGAAATTTTTAGTGGTAGGTAGTAGTTACAAATTAAATTATAAATGAGTTCCACATAAATTATTTTATAAAATAAAGTATGGAACTAGTAAGTCAATTATGCCAAATTTGAGGAATTAATTTGTTATAACGGGTCTGATGTGGAGAGTTGATTTCGCATATTTTTCCTAAATAAATATAAGATAAATCAATAAATAATAAAATAGAATATTCTCAAAATATGTTTATTAATAATTTAAATAAATATTATTAGAACAAATTAAATACAAATAATAATACATATTTAACGAATACTTACTTGTAGCAAATAGGTATAAAATCTCAAATCTTTAAAATATTAATATATTTAAATGTGTAGTAGAGACTAGAATATTACATTTTATTAACACTAAAGTAATATGTTTTATAAATGTCTTTTTAACTAAGGACAAATGTAATATAGGTATTGGAATAAAAGGTGAATCCTTTTAACTATTCCTTCACTAATAAATATTTTCCTTCCAAATACAGATGGTATACTTTTTTATGTGAAAAATGATTTCGGAATCTAGTCCAGTGATAAATTGATTAACAATAATCAATTATTGTCGTTTGTATTTTTATGATGCATGGTAAATCACAGAAGTTTTTCTCGAAGATGTCAACGTAGCAATAAAATTATTGCAAACATAGTAGGTAATAGAAAAATAATTTTGCAACTAACTAAGAAGAAACTACAAATATAAACCTAAAGCCAAAACCAACAAAAAAATCAGTAAAATCAGACGGAAAAATGAGAACAACCAAAAAAATATATACACGTCATATCTTTGGATTCATCGGTAAAGTTTCTCACTCGTAAAAATTAGAAATGGGGAAAGAAATCATAATTTCACCATAAGAAATGTCAGTTGTCGGTTTTGACTTTGGTCATTCACGTGGAGCCTCTATGTGCTTTGTGATGTATACCGTCAAAAATGTCAAATTTTACGATGGAGACGTCAGTTCAGAGGGTGCAGCACCAGGGTTGTCAAATCCCGAAATATAAAAGGCAACCGTATCAACATCGTCAGCTCTGGCCTATTTTTATCTCGAAGTAGTGCCGTAATATTAAACGATACTTTTACACATAATATAATATAAATAGGTGCATTAAAAATCACTAATAATAAAATTTTACGACGAAATGCTTTCATCTATCGGCAAATAGTCGAAGTATAGAGAAAATGGAATATAATAGATGCACATTGTATTTTGTTTCAGAGGCGTAGTAGATCAATATGTTATCAAATTATTATATTCCAATTTGAAACTAACGACTTATTTGTATGTTACTTATTACAATCTGATCATTAGAAACAATAAATGGGTCTTTTAATTCTAATTTAATTGACTACGGTACAGAAAATTTTAAATCTTAGGTCTTCATCAATAATGTTTCTTCCTTAGGGTTTCAAAATTTTAATTTTAATTCAAAAGTTAATTACATAATTTTGGACATTTTAAAACTAAATTTTGAGGCAAGAAATCAGTATAAACGAATATACATATCTTGGGTCAAAGCTCATATAGGAATACCTAATAATGAAAAACTAGACTTTTTGGTTAAAACTGCAACAAAACTTATTTACATAAGTAATTTTAAAATACCCCTATCCGAATTAAATACTTGCTTCAGATATAAAAGGGAGCAAAATTGGCAAGTAAAATATGTAGAGAAGGAAACAGGTAATTTTTATAAATCTATTCAACTAATCCAAACGAATAGCAGAATTAGAAGCGAATAGGTATATTAGATAATAAAATGTGTATTTGTGATGAGATTGCTGATTTACAAAATATATTTTTGGATTGTATTCTAAATGATTTAGAAATTAATTTGTTATACCAAACTTAATTAACAACAAAATTCAGTTACCTATAAATTTAAAAAATCTACTGACATTTGACAGTATATATAACATACTCTATAATTTCGTCAAAACACTCAAATTAAAATTGTAATTAGGAAATAGAAATAAAACATGTAAGTAGCGATGAAAATTTTGTAGACCTGACTCGAAAAAAATGTTAAGAAAGGAAAAAAATAAAGACAAAAGAGAAAGGAAAAAAATAGAAAAAAATATAAAAAAAAACAAAAAATAAAAATAAAAAACAAACAATTAAAAAAAACAAAAAACAAAATAAAAAATTAACAAAACATTTAAACCATATTAAGTTCAGGTTATTTTAGTTATTAAGGTAAATCAATTTTAGTGTAATTTTTAAATTAATAAAGTTTGTTATACGATATTTTTATTTGTTCACCTGACAATTGACTGGCCTGTTGGTTTATATCCAGTGCCACTAACTTAATTAAAAAAAATAATTACAATTAATATTTAGCGTGTATACTTTTTTCGCACTATGCTCTGTTTTTACTACTATTACTACTTACAGTTATCGCCTACAATAGCGTAGGTGTCTGCTAAAATATATAAAATAATGCGACAATGAAAATATATAAATAAAAATCCACTAGTAACGCAACATTGCAACTTGATGTCGTATTGTATGGTTGTTGAGGATAAGGTTAGCCTTTCACCATCTACTAGTCCGCCTCAATACTTATACTTCAAACAAAAGATAAAAATTGTAGTTTGTAGTAACAATACTACAGTATTCTACTAATTCAATACCTTGTTATAATATTCTAAAATCTAGCTAAATAAAAATGTTATTTTACCTTCCCTCGCCTAAAAGGCCTATTATCTCTGCTCCACGAGACAAGAGCCCTGGGTCTGGAACCCTCCACTTCGCATTGAACCGAGATCTCTTCATTGGCAATCAACTGTCGAGGTTTATTTATTATTTCCACTGATAGAGGTCGCACTAGAACAAAATAGGTAAAACATTTATCAATAAATTTAGATAGAATTTTCTCGAAAATCTCCTAAATCGTAATCATTATTAATAAAATAGGTATTTTCACGAGATAAAATTTAACTTTTTAGGGATAAAATTAACTAAGAAATATTTTCAGTTAAGTATATTATATATGTAAACTTTAAATTAAAAGAAATTTGCTGTTTAACATGAAATATATTTTCTGGAATAATACATATAAGCGAAAATTCAATTTTTCGTTGCGAATATTTTATCATCTCTATATTCTAAATCTTTGTTTCCAGGAAAAATATTCTTCATAATAAAGTGTAGTCCGATATTTTCCAATATTCTAGTTACGATAAGATGAGTGAATTCCAATGTTCTCTTGCCAACGGAAAAAACTATAATCGATTCTTATCTAAATATGTTTAGAATTGCCCATTATTGTAATAGAATGAGAACTGGCCGTATAAAGTCGAAGGGTGGATTATTATAGGCTAAATTGAAAAAAAAATGATAGGTTAAACCCCAAACCAATATTGATGTGCTGTGGTTTTACGCACCCTTCCAAATAACAATGCACTTCTGATATAACAATTTTTACGTTTATAAAGCGGTATTTTATAGTAAAGAGAGGTTAAAAAAAACATAGCGAACACATATAGCTGAATAACCCAATTTGCGGGTTTAGTCTGTCGATTATCTGTTGTTACCTCCTATTATAATGAAATTATAAGGTTTGTTCCAACAGCAGTACAGAACCGTTCGGAATTTATCTGCGCATGAGTAGTACAAAAAATAAGAGAGTTAAAAGAGCGTTATCCAGTACGCTCCTAACTCAGATTTCAAATCTGCTAATATGCGATACAGTACCTCTCAGCCCAATTTGGCAACGACGCGCGCTCGATGTTTGAAGGATAGTTTCTCTGATTGTGAGAGATACTCAAGTCGAGTTCGGGTGCGCGTTTTAGTTTTTAGTAGAGACAAATTTAGTACAAAAGTCGCTTATTGCTCGAGATAACAAAAATTGGCGCAGAAACAAATCAGTCCCTATAGGTATTATGTAAATAAGTAGTAGATGAAACGACCACTCACGACATTTTTCAGTACCTATGTAGGTCAGACATTTTTTACGACAAAAAAACAAAAAATAAGCAATTATTAAATATTACTATTATTTACATCACCGTAAACTGAAAATTAATTGGGTTATCGACTTGATTTTTTTTATGATAAAGTAAAAACATGACCGCAAGTTTCAGAAAATAATATGAAATATAGCATGCACTAAAACGATAAAATATACAGATTGACTTCAAAAATAATGTAAAAATATTTTGATTTAATTAAAAAGAAAATAAATAATTGTAAATTATATGTAGATAATCGCAGGTATGTACGAGATTGTCGTCAAATAAAGGATATTTAGTGAATACATTTTTTTTTAACAGGACCTTACTAGCTCACAATATATTGCTATATATATAAAAAAAACAATAACCCCCTTATAAAGGGAGGGTCGGTTATTTCTGGCAGAACACAATTCATATAAAAACACTGGAGTTTACTTTGCAGAAATTATCATCTCGTTCAATTTTGTCCATTACAAAACCCAAAGGGGTCCACAAAAACAACATTGTCTCCTTGTTATGTGAAGCTGGCCCTGAAGGTATAAAAATTTGTGATTTTGTTTCAAATGTATATTATTTTCGTCAACTATTACATACTTTATAATTTTTTGCCTTATTGAATCTTGCGATGTTAATTTTGAAGCAGAAGCAGTGCATTTAATTTATAATCAGTTTATAATTATACAATCAGTTCCTACCAGGCCCTTAGGACTAGCCCCTAAATAACATAAATCCGGGTCGACAAAACAAAACCACATATTTTTGACGTGCATAATAAATTTTTCTGAAAATTGACATAGTGTCATTGTTTTTTTTTTCTAAGCCATATCTTGTATGTTTATTTCCCATGTGCGTGGAATAAAGCAAATGTTTTATAAATTTTTTACAATTTGTTTTAGGCGCATTTTACAAATAATGCCAAACTTAGAAGCTTGTTTCCATGTAGGATTTTCTTCTTGGCTTTTAGTCTGTTTTTCAATCAATTCTATTTCCAGATGAATTTTTTGTAATTCTTTTAAAAATATTTCTTTTTTATTTTAATACTCTTCATCATTCAAATCGGGTATTATTATGGTCAAAAAGACCATATTCTTTATCTGGTAAATAATTTTTTTTTAACCGTCAGTCAGTTATACGAGATAACTACAAGCCTCTGAATAAAATCAAAACTGTCATTTAACAATAAAGAAAAATTTTATTAATCGACATACGTTATTTTTTCCATAACAATTTAGCATGTCATGAATATACAGGGTAATGAATTTGAAAAACCAAAGTGACTAATAATATAAGAGAAACGGCAAATCTGGCAACATTGCAAATATCAAATCTAGAATCTCCGTATCCCAAAATAGGTGTACCCCAATTTTTGTAAAATTAGGACTAGCAATTTACGAGATAATTGGCCGTTTCCAGACTTTTGGCCCACTCTGTATATGAACTAACAGACATGTAAAATTAATGTGGTTGTGAGACGTATTCAGAATTTCCCCTCCACCGGTCAATCGGAGCATAATTCGCAGTTTTAACGCGTTTCAACTAGTTTTTACTCACTGTTTCAACTAGTTTTTACACGCTTGTTTAAGAGTTTATTACCCTTGTGATTATTTTGCCTTTTGCCAATTTACTTTTTAGACTTATACGAGTATGTGTTTAAAGTGAATAATTTTAAATTTTTCCTGTAGGTAGATTTTTTGTGTAAATTTTTATTAAAATATTTTATGACATTGTCTCAATTTAATAAATATCTATACATAATTATTAAGGTTAATTGATCAATAAAAGCGTTTATAATAAAGAACTAAAAAAATAATTTTTAGTAGTTACATAATATGCAAGTATAAGCGTCTCAGAAACGTAAAATCTGCAGCAGCAAACTAGATCTTGAACTAATAGCCTAATTCACAAAGCATATTTACCCACATGTAAATCATTAAAAATGAAAATGTCATTAGATTTGAATGCAACATAATTGAACGATATATCACGAATAATTGTTATTTAATTATTATACTCTTAATATATTACGTTTTTCTGTTAATTTCATGAATGTAATTAAAAAAATAATTTTTATGTTACTAATCACAGTAACGATCAAAGTGTGATTGAAAACTCACGCCATCGTCCAACTCTAATTTTCAACTGAATTGATGTTGACGTTTCTATAAGGATTTAAATGTAGGTAACTATTTACTTCTATGTGAATACGCATGTAAAACTCATCAATAAAAATTTAGTTATCTTTTTTATTTGTGTTAATATTGGGTGGCACAAAATTGATCGAAAACATTTGATCGATTACATTTCATCGAAAACATTAGTTAAAGTTTTTGTTTTCAGTTGTCTTATTTTTCTATAATTTTTTTGCAAGGATAACCGCGTAGGATCCAGGCCGCACAGGTTAGGTTGATTAATTAAATTTTTTATAATAAAAAAAAACTAAACTAACTTACCTAACATACCTCGGGGGTTAAGAGCCTACCGAGCGCGTCTCCAGGTGGTGGATAGGAGGACGGTCAGAGTATCTGGCTAGTGGCAGCTATACGTAGGGTGAGGGGACTTAAAAACCCCCAAAATCCTTTGCGAAAACTGTCGCCGCAAATCAACTCCCCAAGTTAAGGCGTAATGCGACCCGTGCCGAGGACTGAAAGATACCTGGGTCAAGGTATTGCAAACGGAGCCTATGGGACACCAGGTCATCTCCCAGAGTATCAAGACCTTACTGCGGCATGCGTGGCTCTGCCGTAGCGGACTGTCTTTCCCTAGCTACTCGTGGTATCAAATATGAATTCTAAAAACAACCAAAACAATAGCGAAATGCAACAAAAGGCAACAGCGTCAACCTCGAAAGGGGATACGACGAAGGTAACGTCTCTGGCAAAGGCTGAAAAGCTAGCAAAGAGGCGTAAAGTCATCGTCTCCTCCCTGGAAGAGGTAGACCAAATGCCCGAGGACGAGGTACAGTCTGCCCGTCTAGGTGGACACTCAAGAACTGGCCTTGATTGCACAGCCGCAAAAAGGCAGGTGATCCAGGAAAATTTTCAAAGAACCCAAACAAAGCTTCAAAAGCCCCAGAGGCTAGAGCGTCAAGAAAAGGCGAAAGAAGCTGCCAAGCAAGGCATGAAAGCTCAAAAACGCCCAAGGTCGAGAGACGCAACACCGCCGTAGGTCAGCCGACTGAGGAAGAAGGCCAGGACGGACGAAGTTTCGTTCAAAGAGGCCCTTACCTCAGTGAAGGTTGCAGTGGTAGAAATAGGGTACTCGGAGATCAAGATGGGCTAAATACACACCTTTGGACGGTGTGGGGTAAAACCCCAGCGGCCAAACGTCAAACTTGGTCTTTTTCGATGGATCCTGAATCCTTAGAGGAGCTAAAAAAGCTAGACATGTCCCCCTATACTATGACCTAGGGAGACTTAAATTCAAAGTCAAAGGAGGACATGATCAAGAACCCGCCAAAAAGGTGAATAACCCAGGCACAAGTAGGGAAGAGGAAACCAAAAAGTCCTCTACAGAGGAAGAAACCCTGGCAGAGGACGACGGGGTGAAGTCTTCCCACAGCAGGGAAGAGGACACCAACGAGTCCTCCTTAGAGGAAGAAACCTTGGTAGAGGACGCTGAGGAGGTGGAGTCTTCCTACAGTGGGGTCAGTGCCCTCAAGAGGCAAGAAGCCCAAGAGGTGACTGTATCTATGGAAATTGGAGAGGCCTCTAAGAAGGCAGACGAACGGCCCAGTTCACAGAACTGAGCAGATCGATCAGGGTTCTTCAGGTGAACCTCCATCATGCCAAGGCGGCCACCGCTACAGTATGTAGGAGGTTCGACAAAGAGGGTCTAGATTTGGCCCTCTTGCAAGAACCCTGGTTACATGGCGGGAGGGTAGCAGGCCTAAAACCCAACCAAGGTAATATATTGTATAACGCAAGGTCTAAAAGACCACGAGCATGTACCTTATATAACAATAGGGTAAATTGTGTACTAATACCGGTGCTATGCACCGCTGATATTGTTACAGTTCTCCTAACTACGCCGACAGAGGAACGAACAAAAGGATGGCTAGTCTGTTCTGCATATTTCCCAGGCCAGGAGCTATGTCCCCCGCATATAATAGGCGAAATAGTCTCATATGCGGCAAGGGCTAACCTCTAACTGATTATAGGATGCGATGCCAATGCCCATCATACCACCTGGGGAAGCACTGACATCAATACAAGAGGTGAGTCTTTATTACAATTCATCTTATCAGTGGGTTTAGTAATTGCTAATATAGGTAACAAACCAACTTTCGTCACGGCAACGATAAAAGAAGTCTTAGATATGACTCTGTGCTCAAATAAAGCAAGTGATAACATTTCAAACTGGCATGTGTCAGACGAACCATCGTGCTCAGACCACAGACAGATTAGATTTGATCTAATTACCCCGCCTCGAATTTTAACCAAATACAGAAACCCTAGAGAGACGAACTGGGAAAGGTATTCAACATCACTTGGAGAGTATTTCAAAGAGGGTATGGTGGAAATACCGGGTGACCAAAGTCTTGACCGAGCAGTAGACCAAGTAAGTAAGGCTATTATAACCGCTTACGAGGAAAACTCTCCGGAGAAAACAAGGCAGTAAAAAACAAAAACAGTCTGGTGGAACAAACACTTGGAATGCCTTAGAGGCGAAGTGCGAAGGCTCTTTAATAAAGCCAAGTCAACCGAAGACTGGGCCCTATATAAGGCTAAACTCACGCAGTACAACAAGAAGATAAGAAAGGCTAAAAGAGTATCGTGGAGGAAGTTCTGTGAGGAGTTATCTGAAACACCCACATGCTCTAGAATCTACAAAGTCCTAGCTCAAGAGGGTACTGCAAACCAAGTACGATTTCTCAGGAAAGATGATGAAACCTATACAAAAACCTTCGAGGAAACGTTAACAATGCTCACAAAAGTACACTTTCCGGCCGCAGAAATATTACTAGACCCAACAGTAGCATACAGCCCTCAAAGAAGGCCTCGTAGGCCAACTGCTTTGGAATGGAGGCTAGCTACAGAAATATCGAGGCCAAACAAAATTAGATAGGCTACAAACAAATTTCAACCATACAAATCTCCAGGAGTAGATGGAATATATCCCATTTTACTACAAAAGGGACAGGAAACTTTAATCCCACATATGTGTCGCATATTTAAAGGCATGTATAGCCTGGCGACATATACCAAAGGCGTGGCAAAAGGTGAAAGTCATATACCTTCCTAAAGTGGGAAGGTTTAATGATATGACACCAAAGTCGTACCGCCCAATCAGTCTATCGTCATTCATGTTAAAAACGCAAGAAAGACTAATAGATAGATATATACGAGACGAAATACTGAGAGAAAACCCTCTTAGCGATCGTCAATATGCATATCAGCCAGGCAAGTCAACCGATTTGGCCCTGAATGATCTCAACAGGCTACTGTCAAAATCCCTGGAGGATAAAGAAATGGCAGTAGCAACTTTCGTAGATATTGAGGGAGCTTTTAGTAATGCCCAAACAAAATCTATAATTAACGCCCTAACAATGAAAGGGGTACCAGTAGTCCTATGTCAGTGGATAAAAGCCAGCCTAGAAGAAAGGGTAATAACATCATCTCTAGGCAAAGCTACACTGACAGCTAAAGCAGGCAGGGGCTGTCCCCAGCGAAGAGTACTATCACCCCTTCTCTGGTCAGTCCTAGTGGACAAACTCATAAAAAGGCTAATATCTGCAGATTTCTACTGCCTAGGGTATGCCGATGACCTGACGATCGTCGTAAGAGGCAAGTTCGCAGGTACAATATCGGAGCGCACACAAACCGCTCTAAACATTGTTGATGAGTGATGCAGAGAAGAGGAATTAACAGTTAACCCTCACAAAACCACAATAGTAAACTTTACAAAACGAAAAGTACCAACAGGACTAAAGTTACCAGTACTGAAAATTCCATTTGCTTAAGAGGCCAAATACTTGGGAGTCATCTTTGACCACAGGTTAACATGGAATCAACACTTGCAAAAAGTCGCCCAAAAGAGCACAACATCCTTCAACTTATGTCGAAGGTTGTGTGGCAAAAATTGGGGGCTATAACCGAAAATGTCCCTATGGTTATATATCAGAGTCATAAGGCCGATGATAACCTACGGGTCGGTGGTATGGTGGCCAAAGACTCGGCAAGCTGGAGCTATTCGACAGCTCAATGGTATTCAAAGGCAAGCATGCCTGAGTACCACGGGAGCTATGAGAACGACTCCAACAGCAGATATAGAAGTCATGCTAAACTTTACACTACTACATATATTCATTCAAGGCGAAGCCAGGTCTGTCACATACAGACTGCACAAAGGTTCATCACCCATAAGCAGTTTGTATGGACGTGACTACAGCGAGCTATATAAAGAGTTGGAGAACAACCAAATAATGGGAATGCCTTCAGATGAAATGCTCCCAAAGTATAGCTTTCAAAAGCAATATAAAGTAAGTATACCAGACAGGGAAGCATGGACGAGAGGACCTCCTATTCATGCAGAATTCACCTGGTATACCCATGAATGTTCAGGAGTAGGCATATATAGTACCAAGCCAAAGACAAGAATTTCACTGAGCTTAGGTAAACATGCGACAGTATTCCAGGCAGAAATAGCAGCAATATAACTTTGCGCAAAAAAGGTATTAAGACAGAAGGTAAATGGAAAAACCATTGTCATATACTCAGACAGTCAAGCGACGTTAAAGGCACTCAGTTCCATGCAGGTACAGTCAAAGCTTGTGTGGGACTGTTTGGAAGCCCTAACAGAGCTGGGTAGTCAAAACAGACTAACCTTAGCCTGAGTACCAGGCCACAGAGGACATGAGGGAAATGAAGAGGCTGATTTACTAGCCCGAAAAGGAGCCTCAAAGGCTCTTATTGGTCCAGAACCCTTCTGTGGTGTTACAAAAACGACCATCAGAACATGCACAATCAGTGGATGTTTAAAAAATCTCAGAAGTGGTGGAAAAACTCTCCAGGACAGAGACAGGCCAAAGAGTTCATAAAAGGACCATCGGATAAAATCACCGAGCATCTACTAAGCCTTAATAGGAAAAATACTAGAGTACTAGTAGGTCTATTAACAGGGCATTGTAGGCTTAACAAATATATGTATAATATCGGTCTGACAGAAGAGACCTTGTGCCGATTCTGTCAGGAAGAGGAGGAAACGGCACTACACGTATTGTGCTACTCCGAAGGTTTAGTAAGACTGAGATTCCTTACACTTGGAGAAGAAAAACCAAGGGCAACTAGCTATACCGGAGAACTACTTCCCATTCTATAGAGTCTACTACAAAAGACCGAATTAGACAAGTTACTCTAAATAACGATTCAAGGATATCCACAATAGATCTGAAAAGGTCGAGGTGGGGGAGGCCACGTGGCCCACAGTCCTAATTAAATCTAATCTAATCTACCTAACATACGCGAGAGCAATCAGTTAAGTTTAAATAACGCACGTTAGGTAAATTAGGTAAGTTTTTATTTTTTCCTTTTTTGTTTAATTTTTTTGCGAAGCAACCCTCGAGGGCTCCAGACCGCACATGTTAGGTAAATTAGTTAAAATTTTTATATAAAAAAAACTTAAAATAATTTACCTAAAATGTTCCATCGGGAGACAACTCGACCTTATTGAAATACATATGTTGTGCGAATTAATCACATTTTTTTAATCCAAATGAAGATAAATAACCGTTTAGCTCTAAAAAAATTATTTTTAAATTAACAGTATTGTAAGGATAAAATTTGTTAAACGAAGTAGCTATCATTTGAGATTATTGAAAAATTTTCCATTAGTACCTAATTTTGATAGTCGCTTAGTTTAGTTTCCCTGGTAGGGATTAGACGGACAGTTGAATGGTATAGTTTGATTTTTTGATATTTTATTATTTTTAATGTTGATTATCGATATATTGTCCTTTCGATCTAATGGATTTTTGATCTATTGTCTTTTCGATCAAATGCCATTCGATAAAATGTATTTTCGATCAAATTTCCAATTCGATCAAATGTTTTTCGATCAATTTTGTGCCACCCGTTAATATTATAATACTAAATCCCTGTTAGAAAGTCATCGGGTGCGACAATGAATGATTCTATCAATTTATAAGGATATTCAACTCGAAAATCTACTTACACAGCAATTCGAGACGGACCGTCTTTTCTGACGGCATCATCAGCTTGGTGTTACTGGCTTGGCACTTGTAAGTGGAATTCAGATGATCTCTTGTTACCCCGGCGATTTTTAACTTATTCACCATCATGTGATTCCCGATCTCCTCGACGTGGCCTTCGATCAACCTCTCATTCATGAACCAGGACACTGTCGGCGCTGGTCGACCTGAAAAACGTCTCAAATTCAGGAAAAATCTCCGACTAGATATCTTAAGAGATCTCGATACGCATTTCCATTGGATTTGATTGGAACACTCGATAAGGATTATTAGAAATCTCTTGGAATAAACTCCTACTTTTATATTGGAGAAAGATCCTCGAGCCTAGAGAGCAAGGGAGACCGGAGTGGGTTGTGAAGTTAGTTTTTTTTTTACAAAGAGTGCTTCAAACGGTCTGAGGCTGGAATAATTTTTGACGTAATTTGAGCTTTGTCGTCAAATAGCTAATAACATTTTTTAGGGATAAAAGAAAAGCAAGCAAGGGCATTTTTATACAGGGTAGCGAGGATTTAAAGGTACACTATTGAAATCTCGTAAACAATAATTAATAATATATTAATTCTGAAAAATAGATAGTTTATAGTGTGGAATTCCACTTTATTTTAATAAAAACTTTTACTCTCCTGTCATTGTTTGATGTTTAAAAATATACAAAAATTACTCCGAGCTATATCTGTCAAGCCACTGAAGTTCATGACTATTGAATATCGTCAAAATTACCATTATTGTTTAAAATAATTTTTGCAGATGTATTTTTCACTTGATGAAATGTAAAATCAAACAATTAGACATTATTATCATTTAATACACACACACCTTCGTCGAATAATAAAAAGAATATAAATACGTGTTGTCTGTTACAAAATTTGATGCACTATGGTCCCGAACGAGCCCGTCGAATTTCGCTACTTGAAAAAACATTGAAAATTAACCCTGTTAAGCCTTAATTAACACGCTTTTATTAGCTTCACCTGTATGTACGTATGTATGTTAGTAACTCTCCTTTGGACTAAAAGCAAGTGGCTTATTACTGTCAGTATATTCTACTGCCTCAAGTTCGTTAGTTGGCCGAGCGGTCTAAGGCGCGGGTATTCGATCGCCAGACTCATCGATCGTGGGTTCTAATCCCGTCCACGGCTGAAAAAAAATAATTGTTTTTTTCTGCAATTTTTTTAATAATTAATCGAGCTAAAAAGCAAAAAATTAATACAATTTAAAAAAACTAAAAAACACGCTTTTATAATACATCGAACTAAAAAGTGAAAAATAAATATAGTTTAAAAAAACTAAAAAAACACGCTTTTAGAGTATATCAAATTTTTCAAATAAGCTTAAAACAATAATAAATGGAAAATACTAGTATTATTGTGAAAAAAGTGTGGGGCGGTTTGTCCATATTTCTCGTACATCGAGCGCCCGATGCTTTTTTCACGATGATACTAGTATTTTCCATTTATTATTGTTTTAAGCTTATTTGAAAAATTATTTTTATTTTTTTAGTTTGATATGCTCTAAAAGTGTGTTTTTTAAACTATATTTATTTTAAATTATTGTTCGGAGAAGTTGTTCTCCATCGAGTCGGTGGCGCAGCGGTCTCAGGCGCTTATATTAATTTCTAGGCAAGTTTGTGGTCAGAGACTTCGAATCCTACACCAGACCATGTGGATTTTTAATTAAATTGCATGATTCGTTATAGGATTTGATGTATGCCATATTAATAGAAATTCAATTTCTGTTGATATGACATGCAGATTATAAAATCGCGATGCGTTACCGTCTCGATGATGGTGGGTGAGGTTTTCCTCACCTGAAGTCAAATGGCACCATCAATCATCTTTACGTCGCCCCGGAGTGCCACGGCAAATAATAATAATAATAGCCGTCCCTTCCCCTACACAAGTCGTTCAGTCAACTTCAGGGGTTGCAATTCACTCATAAGGCAGTGAATTAGGGAGAGTATTATTTATTCGACAGCAGATTCATCTATTTCAGGAAATTTCCATACGTTTGGTGGAAATCAAAAAATAAATTTTTATTTCTAGAATTTTCAGACTTTTTCAAACAATTTAAAAAAAAACAGAAAAACAGAAAAACAAAAATGAGAGTATTTAAGAGGTCTATTTCAAAAAAGTGTCGTTCAAACGACACTTATTACCTACAACAAAGAAATCAGGAAAGCTAAACATAACAGCTTTAGAAAATTCTGCGAGGATATTAATTATACACCTGCGGCAGCGAGAATGCATAGGGCCCTGGCAAAAGCTTCACGGAGAGTGAGGAAGAAAGAGCTCGCTTCTTACTCGAAACTCACTTTCCTGGAAGCACACCTTCTCTAATAAGGGACACAACTAAGGTAAGCAGGCCCCCAAGAGAGGCTGCTGTAGTGGTCAAACACATATGCAGCAGAAATCGGTTAAAGTTTGCCGTAAATACTTTTGAACCATTTAAGTCTTCAGGTGTGGATGGAATATTTCCTACCCTGCTTCAGCAGGTACAGGAGGAATTACTACCACACATAATCCGGCTATCCTGAAGCAGTCTGGAGCTGGGATATATACCAGAAGAATGGAGAAGGGCCAGAGTTATTTTTATTCCAAAAGTAGAAAAAAAGGATACCACACATCCTAGATCCTTCTAAAAACACGGTCGTGTGTGCCTTCCTAGACATAGAGGGAGCTTTTGACAACACGCCATATGAATCTGTCAAAAGAGCACTTGTATACAGAGGAGTAGATAACATCACATCCAGATGGATGGCTTAGCTGTTATCTACGAGAACTGCAGAAACACGGATAGGGCAGGATACCATCTCCATCTTCACAACCAGAGGATGTCCAAAAGGAGAAGTTCTATCCCCACTAATGTAGAGCCTAACCGTAGACGAACTTCTATGCACATTGACTGACCTCGGAATATTCCGTCAAGGTTATACCGACCACATACTCATATTTGCTAGAGGCAAGTTTAGAAATATCCTGTGTGATATAATCCAACGAGAACTAGAACATACCAAAAGATGGTGCCGTGAAGTGGGACTTAGTATAAACCCTACAAAAATAACACTAGTAGCCTTTTCAAGGCAAAGAAAACTTAATCTCAAAACCATTAAATTAGACGGGGTAGATATAGAATGAAAAAATGAAGTCAAATATCTAGCCCTAACTATGAACAACAAACTTCTCTGAAGCACACATGAGAAGGAAGTAGTAAATAAGGCCTGTGTTTGCATTACTGGTGCAATGAGAACCTGCCCTAGAGCCGCAATGAATGTGATCTTAAACCTCACCCCCGTACATTTGATGATAGAGAATGTGGCAAAAAGGACACGATATAGAATGATCAGGAACGGAGTAATCAGACAAAAGTCTACTTGCTTCAGGACTAAAGATACCTGGCACATGCCCCAGGATGAAATGCTAAAAAAGTACAGTTTTGTGAAAAACTTCAAAACCACAGAGCTGGGCTGTAAGAATCCATCGCGCTTGCAACCGAAAGACATGCTATTCAGTGGTATACGGACGGTTCTAAAACCATAGAAGGAACTGCAATACGAGTGTATGGGCCAAGAACCAAGCACTCCGAAAGCTTGGGAAAATACCCAAGCATCTTGCAGGCGGAAATTTCCGCCATCGAGAAGTGTATTCAGTTTAACATCAAGAGCAACTATCATAGACAAGAGATTATCATCATGTCCGATAGTCAAGTAGCCATCAAAGTGCTGAGCTCTTACGTAATCAGCTCAAATATGGTCTGGAGATGCCTAGAAGAATTGAATGAGCTAGGCAAGAAAAATAGAGTTACTCTCACTTGGGTCCCAAGACACAACGGAGTACAGGGTAACGAGATTGCATATAGTCTTGCAAAGAAAGGGACTCAAACACTCTTTGTAGGACCTGAGGCGTTCTGCGGTATCAGCAGTAACATAATATTAGGAGAGAATAAAAAAGAATTGGGTATTAGAAGAACCGATAACTGGAACAATCTCTTGGGGTAAGACAGGCTAAGATACTATACTTCTGGGTAAATATAACCAGGAAAGTTAGGAAGCCTGCATCTGCCTGAGCAAGAACAGGAATCCTTACCGGGCATTGCCGACTAAAAGGACATCTTAGTAAACAGAGTAGTAGAGGATAGTGAGTGAAGATTCTGTAAGGAGTAGGACGAAACCTCCATTCACATTCTTAATGAATGTGTAGCACTCCAGAATTCAAGGGCACTATATCTAGGGGGATATCAAATAGATGAGGGAGATTTACCTACCTTGAAGCCACTCCAAATTCTACACTTCCTTGAGAAAATAGGATTGGAAGGGCCGTTATAGGCATTGAGACATTTTTTTGGTGCATTAGCGACAGAAGGGGCAAAATAGATCTTTCAGGTCGCAGTGTATTAACACCCCATTTCCAACATAAGGATTTAGCAAAAACATCGAAACTATGTATTAGATATAAAAACGATGGAAATTAAAGGATTTCTATTTGGAAGAAATGTTGAGAAAGGATTTGACAGAAACAGAGAAGCTTTATTAGATATGAAAAAGAGAAGCCTGAAGTCAATAATTTCTTTTTATTTTAGCTAAATGTAAATCCAAAGTGTATTAAAAAATAACAAACATATCTTAACTGATATATTAGTCTCTATATTTAGCACATTAGAACGTGTGTAGTTTTTTTAATAAAGATCCGTACGAATTAAAAGAACTTAGTTAAGGAATAACGTGTATAAACGTGTGCGTCTGGTGGGGGACTTTCGTTCCTCTGGCTCTTCATTTTGTTAGTTCTTCATTATTATTTTTTGTATAGATATACAATTAGTTATTGACAAACTAAACTATTTTTATTGTCCCCTGATTTTTCCTCCGAATGCCCATGTATGTAAGCATAAAGGAAATATATTTTGTTACTAGAGATTTTTGAAACATCCGCTTCGTTTCTTGTATCAAAAAGTATTCTGTGGCTTTTGTGTAATAAATTACACACTGTAATAAACCAAATAATGGCAATACAAAAAATATTTTAACTACAAATAAAAATTTGTTTTTGACTATACGTATAACACCCTGTATAATAATAAATACATTGGGTGTTTTAAAGTAATAAATTACCTATCAAACAAGAATATAATCGTTAGAAACAAACACATACTTTTTCGGTTATGAGCAATCATTTT